GTGGGGGGGCGGCGGGGGCCCGCGGCGGCGCTCGGGCGGGCGGACTACTTGACGTGTCGGTGCGGCGAATTTATTTCACTTTGCCTAAGGAACGGGGTGTGCTGCGGCCCCCATTGCCTAGGGAAAAAACCCGGATGTAAAGTGAGTGAAACTAAACTAGAGTGAAGTAGGGCAGCAGCAGCCAAACTCCAGTGCAGCGGCGGCGGCGGCGGCGGTGATGGGGCTGAGCACCGAGCGGCGGCGGCCAAACTCCGGGGCCGCCGCAATGATGGGCCCGTGCAGCGCCGCAGCTCGGCTCCCTTGTAGCTGCAGCCGAGGCGAGGCTGGAGCCCGCTGCGGCCCCCCCAACTCCGCGGCCCGAGCCCAACTCCCCCCTCCCGCCGGCAGGAGCTGCAAAGGGGCTCCGGAGCGGCCCCAACTCCCTCCAGTGCAACAGCAGTTTTAAGGGGGGAAAAAAAGCCGCGAGGGCAAGAGCGGAGAGAAGCAATGGGGAAGCACTGCAATGGGGGAGCGTGGTCCAGGCAACAGGAGAAAGATGCAACCTCAAGTCGAATGCAACATGCAATCCCCGGCCGCCGCTAGCCCGCTCCCTCCCCTCGCCACCCCGCCCCCTTTCCAAATAACTACCCTTGAACCACTTTATTAGCCACACTTAGTCCCACACTCGCGTCGGGGAGGGGCGGGGGACGGGGTCCTTCCCTCACCTTTATTTATTGCTTTCTCCCCCCTCTCCATGTTTTTTATTCCTAAGTTCTTTTGTTCTAAGGGGGATGATGGCATTTACTTTTCTGCTTTGTGTGGCAGGGCAATCACTGGGAATCGGCCACGTATAATCCGGCGGTTTGTCATATTTTATTAGTGAAAGTATTTTATGCCTATTCTACCTCCAAGGACTGTAACATGGAGAACTGCAGGGAGGAAAAAAAAAACATCAGAGGAATTCTTGTTTTGAGAGATTTCTTGGCGGGGAGGGGAGGGCCCTTTTTTTTTTTTTTTTTGGAGGGGGTTTATTTAGATTTTCAAATGGATAGTTTTCAACTTAAAGCTTAATGTTTTTGTATGGATATACTACTAGATTCTAAAATAACCCCCAACCACAATAAAGAAAAAAAAGTCCAAAATTCTAGATTAAAGAAAATCCCTACTGGACAGTGATATTATCTGGTCTGTGCAGCACGCTGGACTTAACATAGTGTTGGCCTTCGAATGTTAAATAACAATAAACCCCAACCTCAACTGAATACAAATGGGGGGTGGGGGTGGTTTTGTTTTTATGGCTCAGCACTTTTGTAGCATCTGCCACTACGCATTTTCCAGGCATTGATTAGCCATGCAACTCCCATAGGCATGAAGTCCAGTTTTTGCAGATAAAGAGCAACAGTGGTGAGATGATTTGCCCAAAGTCAAAGTGAGTCATTGACAGAACCAGAAATAGCCTTAAACTCTTATTTGTTACTAGTCACATCTTTCCCATTAAATAGTATTTCCTCCAAGAAATAAACAGTATTTAAAAATAAATAGACGTTCTTTACCTTGTTATGTATTTCCACCAGAGGTACTTTGAGATCTTCAGATACGAAGGTGTTTTCTTAGTTCTGTGACCTGCAAAATTAAGTTTAGTTTCTCAAGAAAAGGAAATTTTTAAAAATTCTGATTTCTTAAAGCTAAAAAAAAAGTATGGGTTTCATTTTACATGCATAGTCCATTTAGTACTCTGAGCTTTATATCAAAAAAAAATTTTCACAGCAGAGAAAGTGTGTAAGAGTTTGAGAGCAAAAATGAAAATCCCTATAAATGATTCAAGAAGCCTGGATGAACTCATAATGTTGTGAAACTGAACCCATAACACAGTCAAGATGAATAACGGAAGGACAGGTTGGGTAGTAAGACCCAGCTTTGCCACCTAGAGATAACGCTAATGTATTTAAGAGATGAATTAAGGCAGGGCCTTTCAAACTGGACCAACTAGGAACTGGAACCACAACCTAGTAAGATCATTTCAAATCAGCCCAGGCTGTCGAAATTTTTTCAGAGCAAGACTGCTTTAGTGTTCTTTCTGGAAAAAACAAAACTTAAAAATGTTTCAGAATTTCATAGAAAAAAAATCAGAAACTCAAATTGTGCCTGAGCATGTAAATGCTATAGAAGAGGAATCAGTAAATTTTTTTCTGTAAAAGCCCAGATACTAAATATCTTCGACATTGTAGACCACAGAGTCTCCACGGTAGCCACAACTTCTCAACTCTAGTTGTAGCACAAAAACAGCCATAGACAATACGTAAACATATGAGCCTGGCTGTGTTCTAATAAAGTTTTTATTTATGGGCCTTGACATTTGAATTTCATCTACTTTTCTTGTGTCACAAAATATTCTTTTAATTTTTTCCACCATTAAAGAGAAAAGTGAAAGCATTTTTAGCTTGTGGGCTAAACCAGGGGGTGAGCAGGACTGGGCCCATGGGCTATGGCTTACCAACCCTGGCTTTAGAAGATTCAAGCTGACAATAAGATGTTTGTGTGTCAATCAAACATCAATGTCATGCAAAATCGCATTTTTAGATATTTACATTTAATTAAAATATTCTAATTTTCTTAACACTTCTACAGCTATCAAACTCTATGGAAAAGAATAGCTGTGATTCATTAATAGATAATTCCATTTCCATTCTCTTTCCAACTCTAAGATGCTGAGGAGGAGTGGAACCAAACCAAACTGACCCAGATTCTGACACCTGAGTAGTACCACTCCTTTTCAACTAAGACACCTTGGACAAGTTACTTAACCTCTCAAAGCCTCAGTTTTCCTATCCTATAAAATGCAGCTATTAATATTTATTTGTAGGGCTGTCAAGAAGATGGAATAAAATAATTCATGTCAAGTGCTTAGTACAGTGCCTGGTACATGGGACTATAGAATACATTTTTTTCCCCTGTGCCCTCAAATTCATTTTCTGAGTAAACCACTCTAAAAGTAACTGGAGAGGATGAACACGTAGAGTCCCAATATCTTGTCAGTCTGCACTGCCACTCATGTGGCATATGAGGTCCAAGGATTCTTGGGTGAGTCAAGGTTGTGGGGTTAATATCGTGATAGATTTTGGGGGGTCTTTCTTAATTTCTAAGCATGCTACTCATGGGCATTTGGTAGACCCACACTAGCTATGTGGCCTTAGACAGACACTTAAGCCTTCTGAACCCTGTGTTTCTCATGCACAAATTAAAAATAATCCTTACTGGATTTTTGAAAGGGTTGAGTAGCATAAGTACTAAAGGAAAAAGCTAACAATTAGTATAAGTTAGTGAAAATCCCAGAAATAAGCTGAAAATGGAAAGTTTACACCAGAAGCTCCTTTGAAGTAAATCATTTGACTTTTAGACATGAATGACATAATAGTAAGAGCAGGTGCACAGTAACTTAGAATTTGCTCTCCTACAACCTGTTTACTCCTCCAAAACTATTTAATAGCCATCAAAACCCTGTTGAACAAAAGTAAACTCAAATTTTGAATGTTATTAAATATTGGAGTACAGCTTTTCATTTTTATAAAAGTAGTCAAATCTATCTGTGGTTTCCTGTATATTCCTGCCTTCTGGTCCCTGCTTCAAGAGGTCATCCAAAGTCCAAGATTAGAAAAATATCTATAATTTTCTTCTTGTATTTTTATGGTTTCTATTTTTTACATTTACCTCATTACCACATATAATTTTTGCGTGTGTGTGTGTGTGTGTGTAAGAAAGGAGGTAGGGGGGGCACCTCGGTGGCTCAGTCGGTTAAGTATCCAATTCTTGGTTTAGGCTGGGGTCCTAGGATCAAGCTCCTTGTCGTTGGGCTCTGCACTCGGTGGGGAGTCTGCTTGAGATTCTCTCCCTCTGCCCTTCCCTGCACTCTCTCTCTTAAAGTAAATAAAACCTTTAAAAAAAAGAAAGCAAGAAAGGAGGTAGGAATCTAAATAACTTTTGTTTGATAGGAAATATTTAATATTGGGATTCTATTGGATAATATAAAATGTCATTCAAACTGATAAAACAGCTGGTCCCCTATAAGGACTATCAGTCTAATGCAGAGATACTGTTGATGTAGGAAAAATATAACAGAGGCTTATATATTATAGTATTATATGGAGGCATTATGCATTATAATAGAAAAGTCTCTTCTAAATTTCTTTTTTTTTAATTTTTTCTTTTTCTTAAGATTTTTATTTATTCATTTGACAGAGAGAGAGATCACAAGTAGGCAGACAGGCAGGCAAGCAGGCAGGCAGAGGGAGAGGGAGAAGCAGGCTCCCTGCTGAGCACGGAGCCCAATGAGGGGGGGCTCCATTCCAGGACCCTGGGATCATGACCTGAGCCGAAGGCAGACACTTAACCGACTGAGCCACCCAGGCACCCCTAAATTTTCTTATTTTACAGTTTTGTAGTAGTATGGTACACAATGCACCCAGGGATAGT